GTGAGACTGACAAGGAAAGTGTTCCTAGTTTTTCGGAAGGGCTACAAACACCCCTACCCCCCACAACATGGACATTTATGTACACATATAAGAAGCCTTGCCAGTTGGAACTGTCTGGAAAAAAACAACTATTTTTTTAAGTGACATATTTACTCTAATTTAATTCCAGACAGTTTCAATAACCTACCGACTCACAAACATAACTACTATCAAACAGAAATTGGACACACGGACGAGCAATGACATAATACGTCCACATGAAAATGTATGTGGATAAAAAGTAGTCATTTCTGGTTATTTGTCTGGGAAACTTAGGACCCTACAAAATGTTCCCAATTCATCCTTTCATCTCCTAAGTCACTTTCAATAAACCACCCACTCAGAATGTAACAACGAGAAAACTAGACTGAATACAGCTACCACGGGAAAATGATAATATTACGACGGCAGGACTGTGTTAATGCTGTAGATAAATAAACCGTTTTGTATATGTGAGGCTGGTTAAAAATCATTCACGACATCTAAACGTTTCACTTAAAACATTCACAAGGGAAGAACTCAACAAAAGTTACAGAAAAAAAATATAGATAGATAAATTGAATTATTTGCTTTTCTCATCGAGTAGAATGGGACGACCGTTTGTTCGATTTTTTTGTTGATTGTCCATGGTTTGTAATCATTGAATAGAAGGTTGGACTGAACTCGGTCGATCTTCCTTGTAGATTTAAACAATTAAAACATAAATAGATTAATAGGTATTCTGTCTCACATTTTATATAAAATCTCCGTTGAACAAGACCTTATACATCAATACAGTCAAATCAATTGTTATTTTTACCACTGTATAATTTTTTATTCAATGACTGGGATTTATTTAATTGATCATTATTATTGAATGGTTGAGAAATAATCTCTTCAAAGAGAGAGGGAGAGAGAGAGAGAGAGAGAGAGAGAGAGAGAGAGAGAGATATGGGGTTTGACTTCCACTTGACACAAACTAGGTCATTTCGGGACTAATATATGGTTCAATTTTATTTCAATAATTCGCTTGCGCCTAGGGGTTTTTAGCAGTTGGATGAAACTGGAGGACCCGGAGATAACCCACGAGGTTGGACAGGCGACGCTGCTCCTTGTTATATCCCAATTCATGCAATTTTAATAAATGGAAAATTTAGTTTACAAGTTATATAGTCAATACAAAAAATCAGAATTTTCAAATTAACTGTAGACGTAAAATCAATTTTTCCTCGGAATACGTGTTAAATGAAATGGTGAGTGTTTAACCTGTTGATAGATGTTTAAACAAGAAACATTATAAAACTCACAAGACGTGTAAATGTCATGTTGTTACGAACAAAATCTCCATTTTAAAATGTATTAACGTATAAATAAGCTTGGATTTATAAACATCAAACAGTTACATGAAAGTCGGCAAGTTTTAAACTTGATAAAAAAAACCATGTACAATCTGTCTTTTAAAGTAAAAAAAAAGTATAGTTTGGACTTGATTCAATTTGAAATTCGTGATATTTTTTGTGAAGTCGTGAGATTTGGTTAAATTAAATTGTTTGTAGTTGTTATACAGGTGAATTGTGACTAACAGGAGAATTTTGAATTGAAATAAAATGGGGTTTCACTTCCTACTCTTCATCAAATTGTCAATGGTTCTTTAACATGCACCGTCTTCCTTAGCCCAGTAGGAGCAGAACAGTAGGATGTTAAATCCTATTTCATTTCATTTCTTTTACATGCACACCAACGAGTAGGCCTACAGGTAATCCAAGCGTGGACCTTGGGTTTTTCAGGCCCTCTATCTATCTATCTAGGCCCTTATCTAGGCCTTCTGACAAGCGTAAACCAGATTGGAAAATCATAAGAATATTACTTGCGGAACATCAGGATTGAACCCAGTACCTTCAGGTCAGGGAACAAGCACCATACTCGCTGGGTAACCATGGCGACCTTGTTTTATATGCCTTTTAGGAATATCTGATGGCACTTCAAATGTTTGTGTGTTCCTTTGTTTCATATATAGTTTTTTAAGAGTGGGCCACAGTGCCACAAACTTTCCCCCATAGCACACAGCATGATGTATGCCCGTCTTCATTAACCCAGGGGATCACGGTGGCTAAGTGGGTAAGACGCTGGCTCGCTAGCCTTGAGGTCGGGTGTTCGATCCCTGCATTGGCCGAGAAAGTTCATCCGGATTTTCCGGCGTGGTTTCTCCTTGTCAGTGATGCAGGACGGAGTGCCTGATAAGGACAGCTGTCTAGTCCTTCGGATGGTACGAAAAACCGAGGTCCCGTGTACACATTGGCGTGCACGTAAAAGATCCCTTGGCAGTAAGAATTCGATATAAGAGTTTCCCTCATAGCACACTGTATGGCGTATGCCTGTCTTCATTAGCCCAGGTCAGGAGCAGAACAGTAGGACGTTAAACCCCATTTCATTTCATTAACCCAGTTCATGCAATACTGAATCCCTTTACATTTCATTTCTTATATATCATTCAATTTCAATTCTAATTTATCTACATTACAGGGATAAATAAAAATATCTGCAGAAAATTTGTCTTTTTCAACATCCCTCACATAAATCAAAAAGATGGCCAAAGTTTCTTTTTCTGAACAGAGTACAAGTTTAATGAGTTGAACCGAAAACGAGAAAATTAGTTATAAAAAAAAAAACTGTTTGATGTTGAGGTTATGTCAGGGAACAAATACATGAGTTTAAAGATGTAATCCTACGTGTGCTCGGGGCTATTTATCGTCTGATTGTTTACTTACATCTCTCTTCTGACAACACATCAGTTGTGTCGACTGGATAAAAGAGAGAAAAGGAATTATGACAATAACGCCCAGTAACGAGTAAACGCTCACGTAGCCTTTATGTGATGTAATCAATGTTTGGTGAAGATGTGTCAATATTGTTTTTAAGTTGTTCAGGTAATTCGTTCGTTTCACACTCAACAATTAACCAGCCTCACAGCTTCATATTGTACATAAATCTAATTAACGGAGGAATCAGAGAGAAACAGGGTTTAACATCCAATCAACAGAGCTTTGAGTGTAGGGAAACCAGAGAGAGAGAAAGAGAGAGAGAGAGAGAGAGAGAGAGAGATGGGGTTTAACATCCACTCAACAGAAACTAGTCATTTCAGGATTAACATATGGTTCAATTTTATATCAATAATTTACATTGAGTGTAGGGGATTTTAGCTGTGGGAGGAAACTGGGGGACCTGGAGAAAATCCCAGAGGGTAGAAAGACAACCCCTTACTCTTGGGCACGTAGAAGAATGGAATCGAAACCATGCCAAGTAACTGAGGAATCAAAAGAGAAAGAAATGGGATTTAAATTCCACTCAACACCACCGCCTTTAATATAAAGTGTTTTTTTAGAAATCCTGTCCAGTCAATTGAATCAATATTACAATATGGTATATATTGTCGCTCCAGGAAGAGAATGAGAGAGAGGGATATGGAGTTTAACACCCACTCAACAGAAACAAGTCATTTCGAGACTAACACAGGAAAAAAGAATTATTTTAATAAATCACTTGAGTGTAGGGTTCCTTAGCTGTGGGAGGAAACAAAACCAGAGGATCCAGAGAAAATCCATGAGGTTAGGCAGGTGACCACCTACTTCAGGTCACGTAGTAAAATGGAGAGAGAGAGAGAAATGGGGTTTAACATCCACTCGACACAAACTAGGTCCTTTTGGGACTAACATATGGTTCAATTTTATTTCAATAATTTGCTTTGAGTGTAGGGGTCTTTAGAGAACCCAGAGAAAACCCATGAGGTTAGGCAGGCGACCACCTACTCCTGATCATGTAGAAGAATGGAATCAAATCCTTGCCACTTTACTGAATGACAGACGGTATGATCTAAAACACATACTTTACGAACAACTAAACAACCGAACGACCCAACTCACAGTACCTAGGAATCATTCTCAAGATTTACATTTTAAACAAGAAATGTAATTTAGATGGGCACATGTCAAGCTGCGAAGTTTAAACGCCTTTGGGTTATTAAATAAATCAACCTTTTTTTTTAAAACAAAACATCTGCATCATGTAGCGTTTTAACATCAAGATTGAATTTTAGTGTGCTATGAGGGTAATTTTAGTGTGCTATGAGGGTAATTTTAGTGTACTATGCTATGAGGGTAATTTTAGTGTGCTATGCTATGAGGGTAATTTTAGTGTGCTATGCTATGAGGGTAATTTTAGTGTGCTATGCTATGAGGGTAATTTTAGTGTGCTATGCTATGAGGGTAATTTTAGTGTGCTATGAGGTTAATTTTAGTGTGCTATGCTATGAGGGTAATTTTAGTGTGCTATGCTATGAGGGTAATTTTAGTGTGCTATGCTATGAGGGTAATTTTAGTGTGCTATGCTATGAGGGTAATTTTAGTGTGCTATGAGGGTAATTTTAGTGTGCTATGCTATGAGGGTAATTTTAGTGTGCTAGGAGGGTAATTTTAGTGTGCTATGCTATGAGGGTAATTTTAGTGTGCTATGCTATGAGGGTAATTTTAGTGTGCTATGCTATGAGGGTAATTTTGCCCGGACAGCGGCAGTACGGCGCATTCTTATATCAAAATCCAACAGCCAATGGATCTTTTACGTGCATGCACAGGATCTCAGTTTTTCGTCCATCCAAATGACTAGACAGCTGTTCTTGAAAGACCCTCCATCTTGCACCTCTGACAAGGGGGAAACCACACTGGAAAACACTGGGAGTGAATCCGGGACCTCTAGAGATGGGTCAAAGTTTATTTTGAAAATAATAACATTTAATCTCAACTCTATTCATTATCTTGGTGAGAGTGCCTCTTTAACATTCATGTACTCTAATCGAGTAAACGGTCGATCTCGAACTCACAAACCTCAAAATCTTTAGTTTCCTAATTCAACGTTAAAATCCTGCACTCTTGGACAGAAACCAAATCACAGGATCACAATTAAACCAAACATGTAGCGAATAAACTTACCTTTGGCGTGCGTCTATCACAAACATGGAAAACATCTTTTACTAAAAGTTAACCATCAAATTGTATCATCGTCTGCCATCTCATTGATTTCTTTTAAACTTGGCTACAAATATTTTACCAACCAACCTGAACAAAAAAAAAAAATCAAAAATTCACATTTAACTTGGCTGCAAATACTTTACAAACTAACATGAACAAAAAAAAATCAAAAATTCAAATTAAACTCGGTTACAAACATTTTACAAATGAACCTAAACACAAAGCAAAAGGAATTCACATCATTTTGTTAAGTAGTGACATTGTCATTCATGTTATGGTCCAGGTGTGTAATTTCCAAAAACTTTTAAAGTTTACAGGTCATACTGAGATAACGTAAACTGCAAATTCTACTGATAAAACTTTTAAAGAGAATTTCTGTAACCATTTTAGTACAGATCAAGAAGAGAAGTACCAGATGATGAAGAGAAGTACCAGATGATGAAGAGAAGTACCAGATGAAGAAGAGAAGTACCAGATGAAGAAGAGAAGTACCAGATGAAGAAGAGAAGTACCAGATGATGAAGAGAAGTACCAGATGATGAAGAGAAGTACCAGATGATGAAGAGAAGTACCAGATGAAGAAGAGAAGTACCAGATGAAGAAGAGAAGTACCAGATGAAGAAGAGAAGTACCAGATGATGAAGAGAAGTACCAGATGAAGAAGAGAAGTACCAGATGAAGAAGAGAAGTACCAGATGAAGAAGAGAAGTACCAGATGATGAAGAGAAGTACCAGATGAAGAAGAGAAGTACCAGATGAGAGAGAAAGAGAGAAATGTGGTATGTCCACTTTACACAAACTAGGTCATTTCGGGACTAGCATATGCTTCTATTTTATTTCAATAATTTGCTTGCGCGTAGGGGACTCTAGCACTGGGAGGAAACCGGAGGACTCAGAGAAAACCCACAAGGTTTGACATGCAACTCTACTCCTTGTCATGTACAACCGGGGGAATCGAAACCATGCCAGTTGACTCAATGACAGACCTTATGATGCAATGCGCACATGCGCTTACCATTCGGCCATCCAACACTCCTATTTGTAATGAAATAAGACACGTAACCCTAGCCAGGAAATACGACACCTGTCACAGACAATGTCAGGCACAAATTCAATCCTAATTCTGGTGGTTGACATTTTGTCGGGCAAGATTTGTCTTTTGTCTGTGTTCTTTTGCGTTTTTTTTTTTTGGGGGGGGGGGGGAGGCTTTATGGCCAAATGATTAGAACGTGTGTGCTGTATCATAAGGTCTGTAATTGAGATAAATGGCGTGGTATCAATTCCCTGGTTGTACGTGATAAGGAGTAGGGTCGCCTGTCCAACCTTGTGGGTTTTCTCTGGGTCCTCGTGTTTTCCTCCCACTGCTAAAGACCCATACGTGCAAGCGAATTATTAAAATAAGGTTGAACCATATGTGATGAGTTGTTGTCTGGTGCCAAGTTATAAATGTTGGCTATTAGTGAAGTGGTGTCAGACATGTTGTTCGTTACAACAATTATTTTATGGCCAGTATTGTCAAATAGGGCTGTGATCCACCTGAATTGTGCCGTATTAACCTCTTTAACCCTTTCACTGCGTATACCCGGTAGTACCGGGTATTATAAAATGTCGGTAAAATGCCCGTACCCGGTATTACCGTGTACTCAGTAAAGCCCTCGCTAAAATTAGTACCGTAACTGCAAGTGCCATCTATTGTATTTTCTATACACTAGAACATATTTCCACGTGTTTCAAAGCAGCAAACCGTAAAATGGCGGAGTGCATTGTGACAACGTAGACGATGCACTCTCGACGAAGTCGTGAATGACGTCTTGCTGACCAACATGTAGACAATTTCGAGGCGGGTGATACACATAATTCGTTTCCAGTTACTTGATAATGATAGTAGTCAGGACAGTGATTGGTATTATGAAGTGTGTGATTTGTTGCGCGACGTTCCGCCCATGGCTAGCTATGTCTCCCGTGCATGATGAACAAGCCCAATGTGAACACGATAGCCCTGTGTCTGCAGTAGATTCTGACAATAATTCTGATGTTGATAATAATGCTGGCCTGCTGGATCGTAAAATACGTAGGTAATTCCTGATTCCCGAACGTGTAGATCTATTGACTGACTATATTGATAATGATATGGGACTTGGGGATGAAAGTGAAAGTGAAAGTAAAAACAAGGTATTGCAATCCGCACGTGGTCATGGCAGCGGGAGACGTGATGCGCGTGTTCGCGGCGGCATTGCTCATGGCTGCTATTGATATTTTTGTTCATTTTATATATCTTTATCAAAATCCAGTAAAAAAAACAATATCTTTTAAGTATTTCATGGAGAAAAATTCGTTTTCGTGTTAGCTTTAGTGTGAAATGAGAAATCCAAAATGGCCGCCATGACGTCACGTGACTACATTATTATGCAAATTTCCAAAATTCTATTTTTTCCTCTTAGCCCAACCTCATGCCCATCCCAACAGACAAAAAGCTTTTTCATAAAAGCTTCCATAAGTACTGCTTGGCATTCAGTTCCAACCTCCCTTTTTTCCTCAAAAAAGGGTCTAGCACAGGCAGTGGATTTACGTCTAGCATTGAAAGGGTTAAGGGAATGATCAGCTGAAATGAAATGTGACTATTTGGTTCACTGCCCACTGGTGGATCATCGAGTATGGTGGTTGGCTTATTAACCTGGGTGTAATATAGCAGTTTCTATCTGATCAGATCTACAAACCACCCTTGCTGTCAGACAATTTGAGAGCTCAGTACCCAGTCCGCTTCACTCATATCATGGCCCCATGTCAAATTATTTATTAGGATCACAGAGAACTAAAAATCAATTTAGTTTGGCCTTAATTAATAAATATTTTGATAAATTTAACTTATTTTGTGAAATCTAGTATAAAATCTGTGATGTTTGAATGAAAATCGTGGATGGAAATTATTTTTTTTTTCTGCCATTTCTCACCAAACTAATGATTTTGAAAACAAACAATCCATATGGCTATGTTTTGAAAAGTCACAGGGAACTTGCATTTTTCACGAAATTTGAAGTCGCTTAGAAATTCTTCTAGGTTGGAGATGGGAATGTATGGATTGTCTTCACCTGCCCAAATAACATCGTTAACATAGAATAAATAAATTACACGTCAAAATTTACACCATGGAGTGATGGAAGATCAATATTGTGTTTTAACATGTCGTGATTGCTGTAGAAAGATGTCTGGCACAATCATATTGATGATCAACTAATAAAACATTCCCTCCTCCTCTTCCTCCCCCCACCCTCTTCTTCCTCCCCTCCTCCCCCATATATTCTATATTCAGTCATCTCAATTCATCGCCCTTCCCCACCTACTTCTTGTATATTCAAATTCAGAAAATCCATTAGTTCTTCTATTAGTCTCAAAAGGAGTTATCACACATCCCCTCCCCCCCACCCACATTCAATTTTTACATCACCCCACCCCACCTAATCTTCCCCCCCCCCCCCGACCCAACCCAACTTTTATATCACTTCACCCCACCCAATATTTTCACACACACACACACCCCACCCAATCTTTTACACCATTGCCACCCCACCTAATCTTTCACACATCCCCATCGACTCCTATAAACCTAAAGATAGGTTGCCAGGCAACGAAACATTCGCCCACAGCAGCTAAATCGTCCGGGCAGTCAACAAGAGTTGTCACATATTTTTACTTTTTTCGGTAATGAAACATTATACACTAAAATCTGATTAAGAGCAACAACTCAGAAAACCATTAGAATTTGTTTGGTTTTTATAAAGTTCTGCCCCATGCTAACGTTTTGTATACAAAACTTTTAATACTGTATCATGGATTTAGCTGTTCCAAGTCATAAAAATTCATTGAAAATCAATATACTTGTTCGTCTCAAGATCATAAACTCTGTGTATCAATCTGAAGTCAATCGGATATAAACTTTGGCCTCTAGAGCGTCCACAAGATTTTTCAAAGTGATCAAGGGCCATGTCTTTGGCAGTAATTATCAGAAATCTTTGAAAATCAATAGGATTCTTTGCCTCGTGACCTCAAACACTGTTTATAAATTTAAAGTCAATCAGATATTAACTTTAGCCTTTAGAGCATCCACAAGGTTTTTTGAAGCGATCAAGGGCTATAACTCTGGCAGTAATTATCGAAAATCACTGAAAATGAATAGACTTCTTCGTCTCATGACCTTAAACACTGTGTATAAATTTAAAGTCAATCGTATTAGACTCTAGAGCGTCCACAAGATTTTTCAAAGTGATCAAGGGTCATAACTCTGGCAGTAATTATAGTAAATTGCTGAAAATCAATAGGATTCTTCATCTCATGACCTTAAGCACTGTGTATAAATTTAAAGTCAATAGGATATTAACTTTGGCCTCTAGAGAGTCCACAAGATTTTTTTGAAGTGATCAAGAGCCATAACTCTGGCAGTAATCATCAGAAATCGCTGAAAATCAATAGACTTCTTTGTCTCATGACCTTAAACACTGTGTATAAATTTAAAGTCAATCGAATATTAACTTTGGCCTCTCGAGTGTCCAAAAGATTTTTTTAAGTGATCAAGGGCCATAACTCTGGCAGTAATTATCGGAAATCGCTGAAAATCAATAGGCTTCTTTGTCTCATGACCTTAAACACTGTGTATAAATTTAAAGTCAATCGGATATTAACTTTGGCCTCTAGAGCGTCCACAAGATTTTTTGAAGTGATCAAGGGCCATAACTCTGGCAGTAATTATCGGAAATTGCTAAAATTCAATAGGCTTCTTCGTCTCATGACCTTAAACACTGTGTATAAATTTAAAGTAAATCGGATATTAACTTTGGCCTCTAGAGCGTCCACAAGATTTTTTGGAGTGATCAATGGCCATAACTCTGGCAGTAATTATCGGAAATCGCTGAAAATCAATAGGCTCTTTCGTCTCATGACCTTAAACACTGTGTATAAATTTAAAGTCAATCAGATATTCACTTTGGCCTCTAGAGCGTCCACAATTTTTTTTTGAAGTGATCAAGGGTCATAACTCTGGCAGTAATTATCGGAAATCGCTGAAAATCAATAGGCTTCTTCA